GGGGGGGGGGGGGGGTGGGGGGGGGGGGGGCAGTGGTGGCGGTGGCGATGGCGGTAACGGTGGTAAAAGTAGTAGCAGGGGTGGTTTGAAACACTATTGTTTAAAAAATATATATAAAAAATAATTTTTAAAAGTACTTTTAAAAAATCACTTCAAACACATCCATAAGGACCTATTTTTCCTATTAAATTTAGGGTATTAATATTAGTTGTTAAATTAACTTTAAAATAAAATTTAAAGCGATTTCAACCGCGAATAATAAAAATCATTTTGTTTATCTTTTAAAACTTAAATTGTAAGTTTCTTTATTATCTTTTGAGATTTGAATAGCGGTTATATTTTTTTTTTTTTGGATTTTTGGTTCAGGCCGGGTGATTTGGCCACCCGCTGATGAAGGTTTCAAGTTTCGTAAGAGATATTAGTAAAACCAATGGTCAATTTTTATCAGGTCAAAAATTCAATTTTAATCTTTTTGGTGCTCAATGACAAGGCAAATAACCTGAGATCCAATGCATTTCATAGGCATTGCAAAACGGGTCATCGAAAATATGAAAAATTGTAATAATATAGGGTGACAATTTCTCCGAGTCTAATCAACTCAAGAAGTCTGTTCCAAATAAAAGAAACTCAGAATTTACACACAAATGGTTTTGTAAATTTTGCAAAGTTCTCAATTTATATTTTTTTGAACGGGCGTGCATGATGAAGCACACGTCTCAAGTATCTGTTAGCCAAAGTCCAAACACATTCACATTGGGAAAAAAAAAAAAACTAACATTGGAGTGTATTTACAAGTAGCCATTTCCTGCTATACTAATGTCATGCATAGTGCAGCCTACAGTGATGCATTCTCCTTCTTTCTCTGTGATGGTCATTTACACATGTAATTGAAGATATTCTATTTGAAATTCAACAAAGAATGTCTAGTTATTAACATCTAAACTCTAAGAATCGAAACCAGAAAATAAACTCAGGGTTAACATGATGTGTCTGGTACTCCAACCAAGCTATCTGGCAGGTCAGGAAGTACAGAGGAAAAACCAGTATGTGCAATTATCCCTGAATGTAGTAGTACATTATGTTACCCAGTGGCCAAAAGGGAAAATTTAGCTGTGCACAGACATCATGGGACCAGAGCATCCATATTGTGTCCGAGAGTAATGATGCCCACATGTATGATGTCTCGAGGTATGTCTCCATGTGTTGAAGAATGATCACAAAACAAACCGGTGTGTCTCCAGCACCTGCAATTATGCAACTCCCATTCTGCAAAACAGTAATTAACGTGGAAAAGAAGATCCCCTTTAATTTCAAGACTAAACAAGTATTTCGCGGTTGGACATAGAATTGAAAGCAAATAGGGGCAAGTACACGACTCAGCCATTCTGTTATCTAAGTACTAGGCTAAACAGTTTGTCAATACAATGTGAAAACATGTGATTAATGCAGCATCAAGGTAAATTTGAGAGGGTTTTTTTTTTTGGGGTGGGGGTGGGGGTGGAACATACCTCCTTTACAAGGACAAACTGCATGGGTTCTGTAGTGAATGTAACTAGTTCAGCAGTTACAGATATGTGAACTGAGATATCACAAACAGGTGTTAGTAAGAAAGTCCATCTCACAAGTAAACTAACATAATGTAACAAGAGAGAANGCTGGGATATCACAAACAGGTGTTAAGAAAAAACTCCATCTCACAAGTAAGCTAACATAATGTAACAAGACAGAAAAAAAGAAAACAGAAAACAATAATACACTGCAAAGTATTATATAATACACAACCAGCAGCAAGTTCTATGTTTTTGTGCAGTTATTGATTACTCAGGCTCCTTGGGTGTACGAATCTGCTGGAATTACTGGACCAAGGCTCCGGTATTTGATTTTGGCAGCCACAAACTATACACAGATTCCAGAGTCCAACCGCTCTAATTTCATTGGTATTATTCAATATGCAATGAATGTTAGTAATTAATCGAAGTTGGATCATTCCATGCTCATTTATGCTCCACCAATGATGATAGCATAGTTTACCTTGCAGTTCATTCATCTGGTGGTGAGTGTATGCTCTCCTTCATGTGGTGTGAGTATTGCTCACAAGGCTATCATTGACCTCTTTGAAAATTTTCTCGTTATGTCAGATGCACTCAAGTTCGATGACGGAGGTAAATCATAAATGTGGTGCTTCTTAATTTTGTGAACCAGTGTGTTCATTTGCTGAAGAGAAGTTTGAAATTGGTGTCTTCAAATTGAATTTTTGGAATTGATATCCTCCTTGTCACGTGCATTACAATAATTCAGTGCATTCAATTTCTTTTATGTTAGGTTAAACTCTTATGTAGTATTGAAACTCATTTTGCACCTTAGCCTTACATCCCATGAGCAAAAAGCTTTACATAGGTCTTCATGATGATATTGGATGGTTGCAAAGAGATCCTCAAATGGCTCATGTGGAGGATGGTTCAACTAGCTAGATCTGTAATTGCTATAAGAGATAAGGTACCAAATCTTAATTTTGATAATATGTAGCTTACCACATGAATAGGGTGACAAAATCTTAATTTGTTTGTAATAGGTATTGTATGGGTCATTTATTCTATGGGATTTTCATAAAGCAGATATGAGGGTTCTCTTCAAGTTTAGTACAATATTTGTCTTTGGTTAATTAAATAAGAAAATTACAAATATCAAGCTCTTGGTGATGGTCACTGCTATTGTTTTCTATCATCAGAAATGTTGTTTAATGACTTTTAAGGTGGTTTGTTCCAGCTTACCTTGAAATAAATGTCACCTTCACTGTTATTCTTAAAGGATGATGAACAGTTGTCAGTTGTTGATGTTACTCAGTTGCATTTTGAATGAGCCGTACTATACAACTAATGAATAAATGTTGGATTTGTATGAGATTAGTTAATTTTCTTCTATAATTTCATGTGCATTTGACACAAGTTGAGCTCATTGCTTTATTTGACCAGCATAAGAACCCATGCATTTGTCATTGCAATCATCAAGATGAGTCTTGCTATGTATGTTTTTGTGCCCTTGACATATCAAATAAATGATTATGTGTTCCAAATATTATACGGAGGCTTCCCATTGAATTACACTATAAGGCAGTTGTTGTGAAGGATCTTACGTAAGATCTTTCTTTTCGACAATATTACGAGTCAAAGAACTCATAAATGAATATTAAAAGCTAAATTGGTATTCAACGAAGCAATTAAAACCACATAATTCAATTGTTAAAGCTTCAAGAATATTTTTTTTAAAAATAGTACCTACAAAATCGTTGTTGACTATATTAGTATAGAAAATCATACCCCAGCAAAAAAAATTATAATTATAATTCAAAATTATTCACGTGTAACACACGTGTGCATCAACTAGTTTACATAAATGACACCATCCATTTTTAATTTTTTTTCTTTTTTCTTTTTCTCTCTATCAATTAAACAATTAATGGAGTTAAGGGCTAAGTATAAATGATACATGATAATATTTAATTGGTGGAATTTCATTTTTTTTAATAAATAAAAGTGTAAAGAAATCAAGACTTACCTAGAGTATGTATCTAAATAGACATAGGAAAATACTATGGATTTTACATTTGAGATCCCAAATGAGCATGGACCTTTGGATGAGTGAGTCTCATAAAAAACTATATGAAATCCACTGATTTAAGGGTCTTTGTGCATTTGAGATTACAAAATAATTGAAGTGATCATAGTTGGAGAGTATATGCCGGTTAGTGGGAATATCTTTAAGTATTTAAGAGGTTTAAAAATTGATAGATAGTGACTTTTGATTGGGTATTGGTTAATTAGATAAATCAAATTCTATTAATTTAGAAAAGAAAGTGGGAAGCTATCTTAAACCACCTCTCTAATATTAATTTGTTTGTTTATATCTATATAGAGTATAGACAGATTTGAAATTTCTTTTTGAAACTGTCTATATAAGTGTCATTTCCTTTTGTGAAATGGTGTAAAATAATATTTGAGGACAGCTTTCATACCATAATTACTCTTTGGAAACAAATTGTTGAGAGTGACTTCTGTTTTTTTTTTTTTGATTATATTCTCCATCAGAAATACGGGAAAACTCCATTCAATTCTCGATGGTAACGGAGATAAAAAGATAAAACTTTCACGTGTCATGTAGCCACCGATCTAACTTATCACACCATTTTATCTCTCATTATTTATCCATTCGTCTAACATCTTACACCATCTATATCGTATGAACATCTATCAGTTTTTTACTTTCGGAATCAAAATTTAAATGCTGTACATTACATGGGGCAGCCGTTAAAAGGGTATTATGTGAAGTGGATATAGAAATTATAAGAACAAAGTTGTAATACCCTAAAAATCTCATGGTAGTGGATCTCAGTATTCTTTAGGATCCGTCCAATTCAATAATTTTGATGAATTAAGTCTAATAAATTAAGTTCAAATAGTCTTATTATTAATTTACATAGACCATTAAAAAAATTAAACCAAGTTCAAAGGAGTAGTGGATAAGGGTGTATTAATTTACATAGATCATATCAAAAGCTATATGATATCCTTCACTATAAAATGTCATTCATAATGTAATACACCCCTCAATGATTAATCAAACTCACATTCAAGGATCAAAATTTAGTTTCATTGCATAGTTTCAATGAGCTTGGAAGCGGAAACGCTTTGGTAATGTTTCGGAAACAAAGAAATTTTTCTGAAACATAGGTCGAAACATAAGAATTTTGATATTCAATCAATGATTCATTTTGATTTCCATGGAAATAGAATTGTTTTGGTCGTTTGAACCATTTCGAAAACAAAATTTAATTCCTTGATCACGTTCACATTAGGAAAAAAAAAATAACAGTTCAAATCCTCAAAATGTACCATATGCTGCTATATCCATGTTATTCATAGTGTAGCTTTACAGTTCTAAAATCTTCTTGTTCTGCTATCTTGGTCATTTACACTTATACTTGCAGATACTTTATTTCAAAATGAACAAAGAATGTCTGGTGATTAACTCTAAACTCTCAAGAATAGAATCGGAGTTTAACAAAAACAAAAAACAATAAGGGTTTGTGACTATTGTTTTTCCAGTCATCCAATAAGAGACAGATTATGATGTCAGGTTCTCCAACCAAGCAATCTGACAGGTGAGGAAGTATGTATACAAACAACTAATCGCGCAATCATCCCCAAAAAAAACTGTACAAGATGTTACCAAGCGGCCAAATGGGAATATTCAGCATTGCAGGCCCATTGTGGGAGCAGAACATCCATACTGTGTCTGAAAGATTCGATGCCTCCAAGTATGACTGCACGATATCAAAACTCATGTCAAAATGAAGCGTATTTTCTCCAGCGCCTCCAATGATGCATTCCTCTTGCTGCATAGAAGTAAAATACAGAAAAGAAGATTACTCTCCAATTTCCAAACAGAACAAGCATGTCGCGGTTGGTCAATGCTAGCTAAATCTTGTCAATTTTGTCAGTGGAATGACCAAAACAGTTTCACCGATACAATTTGAGTACAAGTGATTGATGCAGCATCAAGGTAAATTGAGAGAGTTTATATACCTCCTTTTCATGGACAATCTCAGTAAGTCTATCGAGTTTAACTTGTGCCGCGGTTACAGTTACTTTGATTGGAATATCTTGCAGAATTGAACTATAATACAGACCTGGAATATCATACAGGTGTTCGTAATAGGCTCTATGCCACAAATAAACTAGCAGAAAACAAAAAGATACAGGAAAAACTTAGCTATATACACAACTAGCAGTAAGTTCTCTGTTTTTCCGATGTTTTGAGTATTCGTGTTCCTCTGGTGCACGAATCTGCTGGAACTTCCTTGGGATTTCAGATTCTTAAAGACATTTATTTGTGAAATGATTCAATTGGGATGCCTATTATACTTTTATTTGTGAAATGATTCAATGAAATAGCCATTTCATTGATCATTCATATGTTCTTACTGGTCTGGTTGTTTTAAAAGAAGCCAAGTTAAAGCTTTGAGCTCACCCTTTCAACTGTACCATATAGACATAATCTCATTGACGTTAATCTCTTGCAACTAGTGCATAGGGTCCTCAATTCTGTGTTGTTAACCTAGGGCATATGATTTTCAAGAACGTTATGATTCAATATGTGAGAGCATATTGAAACCAAATTTATGACTCGATAGTGAGAGGTGGTGCTGAAAACTAATCTAGAATCGATGCAGGCATTGCTGAAAACAATTTGAGCCAGTCATTTTACTACAAGTATGAAAAGCTCTACATATTTAAGCAGGACATCGGTCATGACTAAAAAAAATTGAAATGCTCCTACCAACATATGAAAAGATTAGAAAGGACAGAAGGGAAGGAGAATTTTGAGCTCTTTATGATATACATGTGAATTAAACATCTTATCTGCTTGTGCAATTTAAAAGTAACATCAGCAATTAAATGAAACATGAGCATGAAAACAGTCGATTACCTGGCCCTGACTGGGCATAATGGCTCAGAAGTCGTAAGCTATTTCTAAAAATCCATGATGGTATCCCAACAACCACTTCAAATTCGTAGTCTGTTATATCCACAATCACTTGGTTCAAAGGGATATCAAACAAAATCATCTCCTTGTATTTAGGCTCGTCAAAACCTGAGAAACAATTCTCAAATAAATTTGGGCAGTCACAGCATCTCAATCATTCCAACACAAACATGCATGAAAAAAGCCCACCAAGACGAAGAAAATTCAACTCAAACAGAAGATGTTGATTGGTCATGTGTACCTAACGAAAAGAAATTACCATAAGAAGCTAATTTACCATCTATGAGCAAATACATCAATACAAAACCAATGTTGCACTGCTTTTTTCATCATTCTTTCCCTTTTGAATTAATTAAACTCGATTTTAATCCACCAGATACCAATAAAATCTCTACACCCCCCCAACACACACACACAAATCATTCAAAACCCATTCAAAACCTTCAAGATTTCATAATATAGGGGGACAAGAAGTCTGTTCTAAAAATCTGAAACAATGTTCAAAGAAGTTTAAATGTTTTATTCTTCGAATTCTGATTCTTCAAGAAAATCACTTCAAATTATCACATGCGAAAATTTCATTTACTTCACAAAGTTCTTGTAGGGATGTAAGAGAAATAGAATCAAAGTAATTGAAAGGTGCAACCTCATCAAGAAACCAATTCAAACATCATAAACCAAAAACTTCAAAACACATTTCACAAGAAAATCACATAGTCAAGAAATGAATTTAAAGATACACGAAACACGAGGTAATGGTATACTATACTTAACTGTGCTGAAACAGGAAAGAGATTAGATGGCTGGTGGATGAACCAGATCCAGCAGTATCCTCAAAGGTGAGACGGATGAAATTGGAATGTTGTTCAGAATTGTAGGTGATAGTGAGAGCATCTTCATCACTAATGGTGCGCAGCACAGTGTTCAAGTGATTGAGATTAACACCAACCAAGCAATGATATGAATCACAGGAAAAGCCATCGAAACAAGAAGAACTGATTCGGATCGCTGCAATGTCCCAGCCCTTTTCATCTGAAGTCTGCAGCCAGAAACAATCTACTGAGCAATTGAATACGGCTTTGACCCCCAAGTGCACTAGCGGTGACATAGCCCTCCTCAGTAGGTTGACTTTGTTTAGCTTTATCTCGAACATGGTGCCAGAGAGAGAGAGAGAGAGAGAGAGCAATAAGATTTTGAAAGTGTCAGAGTAACTCACTCTGGTAGAGTTTGTTTGCTCAAATTACAAAGAGAGGATGTATATATATACATAGAGAGAGAGAGAGAGAAAGTTGGCGGGAAATGTAACGGTATTTCAACTTGAGAAAGAGTTAGTTAGATACTGTTAGTAAAAATGGAAGCAGCTCCTCAACTATTTACATAAATGCCACCATTACAAGTTGGCCAATCATAGATATATAGAGATTTAATGACGGGTGCCTTATACTATTGGTAAAATAAAAGGTTACTAAATAAGTAATTACTGGGACATGAATCTCACAATTTACATTGATTCTACATTTTTCATCCTATGTTGGAATTTTTAAAATCATAAAACATATTCCGAGGTTTTTTTCACGACTAAAAATATATAAAAGTCATTAATTTTTGGTTGGAGTATTCAATAATTATAACTTCATAAATAATCCAACAATATATATATATATATATATATATATTATTTTATTTTTTTTGGGTTTTTGGGAAGCCAATGGTTCAGGAGATGAATGGCTCAAAGTCTCGTAAGAGATAATTGTAAAAACAACGGTCAATTTTTATTAGGTCAAATATTCAATTTTAATTTTTTTCGTGCTCGGTGACAAGGCAAATAACCTGAGATCCAATGCATTTCAAAGGCATTGCAAATCGGATCATTGATTATTTACAAGTATCTGTTAGCCAAAGTCCAAACACATTCACATTGGGAAAAAAAAACTAACATTTCAGTTCCACAAAGTAGTTTGAATGTATTTACGAGTAGCCATTTCCTGCTATCTGGCAGGTCAGGAAGTTCAGAGGAAAAACCAATCTGTGCAATTATCACTGAATGTAGTAGTACATTATGTTACCCAGTGGCCAAAAGGGAAAATTTAGCTGTGCACAGCCATCATGGGACCAGAGCATCCATATTGTGTCCGAGAGTAGTGATGCCCACATGTATGATGTCTCGAGGTATGTCTCCATGTGTTGAAGAATGATCACAAAACAAACCGGTGTGTGTCTCCAGTACCTGCAATTATGCAACTCCCATTCTGCAAAAAAGTAATTAACGTGGAAAAGAAGATCCCCTTTAATTTCAAGACTAAACAAGCATTTTGCGGTTGGACATAGAATTGAAAGCAAATAGGGGCAAGTACACGACTCAGCCATTCTGTTATCTAAGTACTAGGCTAAACAGTTTGTCAATACAATGTGAAAACATGTGATTAATGCAGCATCAAGGTAAATTTGAGAGGGTTTTTTTTTTTGGGGTGGGGGTGGGGGTGGAACATACCTCCTTTACAAGGACAAACTGCATGGGTTCTGTAGTGAATGTAACTAGTTCAGCAGTTACAGATATGTGAACTGAGATATCACAAACAGGTGTTAGTAAGAAAGTCCATCTCACAAGTAAACTAACATAATGTAACAAGAGAGAAAAAAAGTTAACAGAAAAAAATAATATACTGAAAAGTGTTATATAATACACAACCAGCAGCAAGTTCTCAGTTTTTGTGCAGTTATCTCTTACTCAGGCTCCTTGGGTGTATGAATCTGCTGGAATTACTGGACCAAGGCTCCGGTATTTCCTTCAGGTTTCAGTTTTTTATAGATCTTTGCTTGCGAAATACAGAAATAGCTATGGATGCCTATTCTAATTGTACTTGGCATGAATCCAATTTAATTTCTGACAAAAAAAAAAAAAAACAACTACTATGAAACTGCTGGAAACGGTTCGAGAATCAATGGAGGCGTTGCTGAAAACACTTTGAGCACAAACATTTCACTAAAAGCATGAAAAGTTCTATCAGCAAATTGTTCATGACACAAAGATAAAAATGCTTCTACCAACCTATGAAATGGTTAGCACTAGAGGCAAGCCTATTCATGATGAGAAGATCGATTCACAGGAGAAATTGCATTGTAACAACTATCACCTTGTGAAGTTACACATCTCTACTTGTGCAATTCAATAGGAAGATCAGCAATTAAGCGGAATGTGTGCAAGCCAATAGTAGATTACCTGTATCCCCAAATTCGCTCAGACTTTCATAAAGTGGCCTAAAATCCAGTGATGGAATCCCAACAACCACTTCAAAATTCAGTTGTGATGTATCCCAATTCATTTGTTTACAAGAGTAATCAAAGAGATCCAAGTCCTTGTCTCTAACTGGATGAACTCCTGAAATATATTTCTCACGTAAATTTGGGCAGCTCAATCGCTTAAAATCAGGAACAATAATATCAAAGAAAAACCTTACGATGATGCAAAAATTTCGGCCCAACCAGAACAATGTCATCAAATATAAGGGCATAAGGAAAAAAAATCCTTATTGAAAAAAAACAAATTTAACATTTATAAGAAAATCAGATAAAATCTATGCCAACCCCCATGGAACGCTGTTCAAGAAAGGTATGCAGTATGGTTCTTAAAGTTCTAATTGTTCAACTCTTCCTGTTTTCTCTCAAGATTCGTTTTCAGGTGTCTCCAAGAAATTGAATCAAACTAGCTTAAAACTGGCAATCTCATGATTCATCAGGCTTCCACAGAGCCTTCATTGAACTTTCAGGATCAAATACATAATCATAAAACTTGAAGAAACCAATCTTAACATCATAAACCAAATGCTTACAAAACACAGGAGAAGGGTATGAATATAGCATATGTTTACACATCAAATTCAAGAGATTCAATTCAAACAACACCCCCAAGGAACGTGCTAATCTCTTCGATTCTATCAAATAACTCCCAAGAAACACAAACACGCTTGCATAACTATGCAAATAAATAAAGGGATGGAACAAGAAATGGATTAGAAAGTGCAGTGAGCTGACCAGTAGTATCCGAGAAAGTTAAACGGAGGAATTCAGAATTACGATCTTGAGAATTACGTTCTTGGTGATAGGTGATAGTGAGATCCTCTTCATTATCAGTAGTGCACAGTATACTCTGAAATTCAGTGAGGTTAGCGACAAACATGTAGAGGACATCAACGAAAAAGGTAATGAAGCTCGGACGACAGATTCGGATCTCTGCGAAAGCGAAGCTCTTTTTGTTCGTAGTCTGCAGCAAGAAACTATTTGGCGAGCATTCGATTATGCCTATCCCATCCATGTTCACGAGCGGCAACACGGCTCTCGCCAGTAGTTTCCCTTGTTTTAGCTTGAGCTCGAACATGGTGAGAGAGAGAGAGAGAGAGAGATGTTGGCGGGAATTGTAACGGTATCTCAACTACAGGGGAGGGTTAGTTACATGACAGTTAGAAAAATGCAAGCAGTCCCTCATTTATTTACATAAATGCCACCATTAATAATAGATAGTGTGATTTAATAATCTGTGCCTTTTGCTTAGTGGTAAAATTAAGGCTGCTAGGAGTGTGTTTGGGATGACTTAAAAAAAAATACTTCTAAATATTTGATTTATCATAAGTATTTTTTTCTAAAAAGTATTGTTTGGGATAACTTCTCAAAAATACTTTTTAATAAGTAAAAATAATTTTAACACTTAAATAAGTTAATAAGAAAAAATAAAAAAAAAATTTCACTTTTTTTGTCACAATCAGCACCCTGCCTCTCCGACATCCACAACACCCCTGCCTTTTCGACATCCACAAAAGACACCAATCACCTCGTCGATCACCGACGACGCTCGACTAATGTTCAATCGAAAGAGTGAGAATCTGATAGCCACCAACTTCAACTTGAACCTTCGACGATTCAGGATCAACAAGCCAAAATTGAATACTACGAGCCACTCCAAGCCCAAACAGATGATTCTTCCCGTCAAGAAGCTTTCCCAAAAAAGTTGCTAGATCGAAATCGTAGGTTGGTAAATCAAAAGCCCCAATCGAAACCATTGGTTCCGAAAACAATGGATTAATTCCACCGGTGAAGATAATCGGAAACGCCAGCACCGATCCAATCAAAGGTCCATCGATTCTCACCGGAATTTCCCAGTAAGCTCCATGGCCTCATTGGGTGGTCAAGTTGTTCGTTTCTATATATAAATCTGACGGATTTGAATACCAAAACTCATTATCTCCATGAAATGACACATAAATTTCAATTACAACTTTCCTAATAGGGTTTTGATTCTGAGGAAGTTGAGATGAAGACATGCTAACGGCGTGAGCTTGGTAATAGAGGAAAGTGACTTTGACATGGTAAACGTCAATGTAAACGACGTTTTGAGGCCCATGTCCAGTGACTGATGCCACATGTAATTTTAATTTAAGTATTTTTAATTTTAAATATCCAAACAATACTTATTTAATGAAAGTGTTTTTCTTATAAAGTATTTTTGATAAACACTTATTGAACGCACTCTAAATAAATGATTTTTGAGGTTCCAAACTCACCAATTTCGTTATAAAATAGGTGTTTTTATAGAGTTTCTTTTATTGGATATTTTAATCGTACAATATATTGAAACTTTTTTTTCACCTAGAAAAAAGAAAAAAACTGAGGTCGTTAATTTTTATTTAGTATATGTGGTGTCTTATCCCATTTTTGGGTGATCAATGGCTCAATAATTGCCACGAGTCTAGGTTGGGTATTCAGTCCCTTACCTTCAAATACAGAAATCAAAGATTCAGGTTTCATAAAAAATATTGTAAATGCAAAAATCAACATTTTTTTTGATTCAACAATCAGGGGGGTTTGGGTCAATTTACAAGCACCTTGATTAATTCTCTCTCAATCCACGCTGAAATTTGGATATTCATAAAAGATAAATTTCTCATAACCTGAGCTGAAAAAGTTATTAAAATTCAAACTGAGAATGTCTGAGTATACAGCTTGTCCCTATTATAACTCGAGTTATCGCTTTGAGTTGAAATCAGTATTTGTTCAAGTCTAATGTCTTAGTCCCCCCCCCCCCCCCCCTAGTTGTTTACTACCTTCCATCTTTCTTTCTCTTAAGAATAAATTAGATCTATCATTGTATATCCAAAAAAATTGCCCAACTATAATGTTGAGAATAACTCAACAATACAAATGCATTTTTCGTAAACGTTAGTAGATAAAGGTATATATCACAGAATTTAAAAAAAGATAAAAAAAAAAGGGAGGGGGGGGGGGAAACATAATCTCTTTAATATGCTTACAAACTTGAAACAAATTGTCTTATTTAACATACAAATATAAAGTTTCATCACAAGAAGGGAGGTTTGCTAAATTTTTTGACATTCCAAGGGTCTTAGCAAGGAACCATTGTCTATGCAATTAGGATTGCTCTTGTGTGTGTTCATGTTCTGATTCGGGCTCGGGCTTGGGCTCTGTCTCGGCCTCTGCGGACTCGGGTTCGACAAGTGCTACACCACTTTTTCTATGAGTTGTAGCCTTGAGGACATGCTGGTAGTTCCCTTTCTCCATGAATAGCTGAGCAAAATGGTGCTTGCAGTAGAGAATTCCATCAAGAGCAGCATAAGATGAGTGTGTGAGAGGACAGCCTCCATGAGCACATTTGAAGCATGTTTTGTGGTATGACTCTTCCTCCATAGTCACCTGTATAGAGATAGGATCCATGGTGGGGTTATTGTTTGTTTGAGTGTGTAAAATGTGGGTAATGCGGTTATCCTGGGCAAAAATTCTTTAGAAGCAACAGGGTTGGGAAACCAAGAGAATGCTTTTGCCTTTTCTTGGCTGTCAGATAACATTAATCCAATCACACCCCCATTGTCTCCCTTATATCCAAACCACACACAATCAAAAGAGAAAATGACTGATAATCGAGCCGAGCTTTGTAAGCTCAAATTGAGTCTAAAAAATTGTTCAAATTCAGCTCGTTTACAACATGAGCCGAGCTCGAGTCAAGTCCTATCCAAATCAAGCCCGAGTAACTCGGCCCAATGATCAATCCTAGATGGGAGATTGAAGCTCGAACTCGGGGAAGGTTGCAAGAATTTAATGAAAACTATATAGATTTTAAAGTTACAAACCTTTTCCAATGGGTAGACGGTTTTGTTACAAGCAGAACATTTATCTAGGGTTCCAGAGAACAAAGCAGAGAGTTTGCTTGGTGCCCTTGTCTGCACAAGATATCAAAATTAACACTGTTTTCAAATTTATCCATCGAAGAGAAAGATTAACAAGAAAAATAAATAAAAAAGAACAAAGTATTTGCTTGGACTTCCCAATAGAATCGAATAATTCCAATCCAAAAATTTATTAAAATTTGTATCGGAAAAGATTTGAATCCCTTAGGAACATCCAAACGCATCATAAGCGTGTAAAAACGTGGAAATATAAACATACCAGTGAATTTTCTCTCTCCGGCCTTGTTGCTATACCATCAACATAAAAGAAAATTGTAGTTATAGGAGATGATGAAAGTAAGTTTAGAAGGCCTAAAGAAGCAAGAAAAAATAAATAGAGTTGAGAAGGGTCTCACAGGTTTGAAAGTTCTTGCTGAAATTTCCAGATTCTTTAAAAAGTTGTTCAAAATGAGGCTTGCAATAGAGGACTCCATCCATGGAAGAGTAGTTGCTCATCTGTCAACCAAACATCACAAACCCAATTCTTATAACTCAATTAGATTGTTTAATGTTACATGAAACAAGAATGTCTTGGAAACTTTTGCAATTTTTTATGATTATACTTCAATTGTTTTTTTTTTTGTTGGTAAAAAAAAAAGGGGTGGGTCAAAAGAGAGCGCCCACAAACCATTCCAATAGGCCCTCACTAGTGATATCATGCAGCCCCTGACCGTGCTCGTTACTCATTTTGGGAACGAACATAGTTAGGCTAGTATGGTGGTCAACCACCGAGCTCCGATATCGACTTCAAGACTCGAACCTTCAACGGGTTGACAACATTGTCATAAACTTCTTATGTAATGAATATCATCCCGTCAATACTGTGAGATCTGGGAAGAGTAAGATACACATAATCTTATCTTACTTACACAAATATCATTTCTGTAATTCAAACTCGTGACGCTCAGGTCACAAAAGAGAAACTTGGTTGTATTACGATTCTCTGTATTCTTATATTTTTCGACTCCAATGATGATCAATAGGAATAATGTAAATGTAAAATAAACCAAATATTAGAAGAAACAATATATATATATATACCACAAGAGTTCCTTTGCAGTGGCTGCATTTGAAGCAGGATTTATGGTAAGTTGTACCATCAGCAGACAACAAATCCACAAAATACACAGTCTTATCACAAGCTTTGCATTTATCCAAAGTTCCGGTGAATGACATTTTCTCCTCTTCCTTTAAAAAAAAAAATTTCTGGAAATTAATAATTTCTCGAAGAATTGTAAATAAAAAAGAACCCAACAGATTGGGTTTGCCGAGGATCAAAGGAGAAATTCAATGTGAAAAAGCCTTTGTTTTTTTTTTTTTAATCTCCTCCTTGGTAATTTGAGACTAAAAAGTTTTTCTCATGTTTATACATAAGTATTTTATATCATCCTGCAATAGAAATTAGTCATTTCACCGATGAATGGTTGACACGTGATTGGAGATCCCAGTATTATGAGGCAAAAACGGAATGTCTTAATGTTGGAAAATGTGGATGTAATCCGATTAAAATGGAGTGAAAGAAGGCTGATGTATTGACTCATTCCACATGGTAAATTTTTTGGATGAGAAAAAGGAGATAAAAATGGCCAGTTTTTGTTGTTGTTACTGTCTTGGTAGTTATGTTCGTTAAACAGGTTCACCAGCATTTTATATCTTAGGAAAAATTATATTTAAATCCCTTGAAGTTTGTCACTTAATCATCTAGACACTCTGATATTTGAAATATTACACACAAACATCTTAAAATTTGTACACATGTAACACTTAAAACCTTTGCCGTCAATATCCGTTAGTATATCTATAGTAAATTACATTCAGACCTCTTGAAATTTGTAATCGTGTAACACTTAGATCTCTCAAGTTTGAAATATTATACTTAGACCCCTTATTAGTTATAACGAACTCTATTAAATGACCAAATTGCCCCAATTAAAAATAGAAGATTTTGTGTTATTTGATTTTTTAGTTTAATTCCAATAGACAGTATAATTATATACAAATGAGTTTTAAATTAAATTATTTGATATATTTATATTGATTACTATTTTTTTCTCAAAAAATTGAAATTTTGTTTGGGTTTTATGTCAATGGATGATATAATAAAACATACAAATGTGTTGATTAAACTTATTTAATATGTGTTGTACTTCATGATAAAAAAATTAACCCAAGGTAAAAAGTCCATCAAATCCAAGATGTTTAAAATATGTCATTCATAGCTTCTAAATCTAGTTCATATTTTTGAGTCACTTAGTAACTTATGTATTTGAGAGTTGACCCCTAAAGCTTCTCTCGGGTCTTTGACTTCTTTTTTAGGTTCTTAAAATCTAACAAACTGTCCAAATTTTGAGATCAACAGTATTAATTATGATATTGTTTAAAAAAAAATTAATTTTAATTTTTAATTTATTTCAACAAATGATATAATATAGTATAAATTTTAATTATAAAATTTCAAAATTTTAATATTCTATCTTTAATTGTAATATTTTTGGTCAAAATAAAATATTTAAACTTAAAAGATCTAAGTATTAAACACTTTAAATTTAGAAATCCGAATATAATTTACTAACGAATATATTAACAGATATTAATGACAACAAATCTCAAAAAATTTGTATATAATATTTTAAATATTAAGAAATCTAGGTGATCAGGTGATCAAGAGTCTAAATTTAATTTTCACCTTTCCTTTCTGTTTGGGGTGAGTTCCGGGTCATTTTGATGCATTAGATATTAAAAGTTTCGGATCCATCCTAAATCTAAACCCTATTGAGTTACAACCTTGTATGTTTAATATTATAATTTGATTTGATTGAACCATAACTTTTAGTCTGCTTTGGAATACGGGCAGGGGTTTACCCCACCAAAAATGGAGAAAGGACTATAAATAAACCGTTTGCTATTGCTATAAGAGCTGCTCGCTTTTATACGGCTTGATTTTTCTATCGCTCCAATGTAATGGTCAACCTAAAAAATAGTATTCCTGCTATACCAGAATACCTATTATCTAGTGTTAGAAGCTATAAGTGACTTTAGTAACTTTGACCGCATGAAATTGTAATAGCTCGCCTTCTTTCTTCCTGTAGTTACGTGAAGGATTCAGCGAACGTCTTGAAAGACAATAACACAAAACAATTCACTAAATGGTTGTTGGCTCTAATAAAATAAAAAAAATCCGACAAAAACATATCAAGTATTTTCTTATGAGCAATGCTATATGAACTTAAAAACTAAAATTTATAATTGTAACCATTGATTTCATTGTAAGTACCAATATTTATTAAGACTTATTACATATTCAATTATTGTAATTATCAAGTCTAGTTTTTAAATCTAACTTTTAAGTCCATGTAGCATTACTCATTTCCTTATACACATGATTTACTTAAACTTTTCGAATTAAATAATTCTAAATCACCAATATAATTGTTAGATGAAGTGTGTTCTTCCACTAGACATTCCAAGCTGCAAATAGCAGAGCATCCACTTCACAAGAGAAAATAAATAAACCTGCAATTGGTACCTGAACTACCCAATCACGGAGGCAACACCACTTGCTGGCACAATAGGAGATCGGATAGGGTCTTTCCATGCCTGTCAATCCTTCGAGAGCTATTGACACCGCCATCTAGAATGTTCCGGATCACTACATTTAGAGAATGAATTCCCCTAACTTCATAGATCTCCAACGTAACATGTTCATCGACCCATTTCTTTGTCCTCTCAATCTCATCTGGGTTAGGCAAGGATGAGGGAATCAGAAGATCCGATACAACTTCCTTTACCCATTGGGGTGTTATGATCATCTTGAGCCTCTCAACATCAGGAAGAAAATGTGGGATAATGGACAAGTGTGCGTCGTTTCCTTTATCTCCTGCCCTGCTATGAGCAACATTGTAAAGCGGAATCTTTTGGCCAGATGGAGCAGGAGACGCTTCAACTGCTGGCAGTGAATATTTGGTGCAAGAATTGGTTGTAGTGTTCATTTGGAATGATGGTGAGACAGAAGCGTTTTCAGCATGCGTTTGTGTAAGATCACTAAGGCCAGTTGTCTGATCATCTGACTGCATTACTTCGTTTTGCTGTGCCGCAACATGCCAATGGACATGTTCACGCCCTACCTGATCAACCCGACCACTTCCACAAAAATTAGTTCTCATGTATTTACACGATATTAATCCTCAACAAGAAAAGCACATCAACTCATGAGTGGTTTTAATCAAAAAATTTACAGAATAGATTGCAAGAAATTGCATCTTTAAGGAGAAAGAAATAGAAGGTGCAGGCACAAGAGCAAATAGTTACTGTACAACAGCAGATGAGATTAAAGGAGCTTCCTCATGATACTTGCAGGACAAATTACTGAGCATATAACAGCATTTATATATATATATATATATATATAGAGAGAGAGAGAGAGAGAGACATACCAGTCCTTTTTCTAGAATAATCTCCTTCTTGTGCCCAGTGCTGCATTTTGTAAACAAAGAGAATCAGCAAAAATTGAAGCAATGAAGAAAGTTGTAAACGAATAATGATCAAAAAGAGGGGAAAAGGTAAAAACTACTAAAATACTTAAATGCCCAAACAATGAAATCCCAAAGAACCCAAAGAAGCTACTACTTTTTAAGTTCCAAATGGACAAAAGACTGAACAGTCAGCAATCCTGAAGTTGTGATAAGGATTAGAACTCAAGAGGGATTAACTTAGCCCTAGCGCCCAGTGACACCTTGTTTAATATTGCCAATTGATGCCACATCTACCATAGAAATTATGGACAGTCAACATGTAGGAAACTTTGCATGATCATGAAGAACAGGGGCTATGGGGGCAATTTAAAATTCAATAATAAATAAATTATTAATACTATTATTTCTTTTACAAAGAATTATTTCTCAACACTTTTATATAAGTATGGTTTCATTGAAAGAATGTTATTAGAAGTGCAATTTATATATTTCACGATATATAAAAAAAATCAACAAGAAAAGGGTCACACATATAAAATATCTAATAATCCTATAAATACTGTATATTGTGAGAATTTATAATATCTTTAATAGACACTGGTGTGCCAAGCTACTCATAGGCTCCATGTGGTCTTGTCAGAATATATACCCATTTGGGTGTGTTTTGAGCTACATTGTAATATTATTCTTTCAAGAGTAAAATTATTGTACTTTTAAAAAAAAACCATAAAGCTATCCATGAGACGTAACAAACGACATTGATATCAAATTAAAAGGGTAATAAACTCAATACTATGTCATTATCTTTAAGAAACTATTTATAGGGACAATAAATAATTAAAAGAGAATAAAATTGATATAAAAGATTTCAAAAAAAATCAATGTATCACAAGTTTATTAAAACCGAACTTAGATATAGAACCAATGTAATTCAACAAAAATAAATTGTTCAAGTCCAATTAAATTGAAATAATTTAATCTAAAATGTATTTCATGCTTGACAAATTCCAAATATTGGATTCTAAGTACAATTTTTATCTATTTATTTTCTAAAATACTGAAGTGCCCCTAAAGTTTTACCATTTTTTAGTAGGGGGAAAAATTTTTAAAAATCAAAATTTTGAGTTGACCCCAAAATATTTCAAAATCACTGTGAGGGCAACTATCCCCATTGCCCACACTATGGTTCTGTCACTGACGAAGAAGGGAAAATGTATTACAGCAGAACAAAATGACAGAATGAATACAGGGCACGATCAAAATAAGGAACTACAAGCCAAACTACAAACTTTTATCGTAATAACAGTCTAATTAATTAGGCATACTATAGATGAATTAAAAGTGTATTTGGTGAAAAGCTGCAATCTTAAGTTTTCTCTTTCTTTTAAATTTAGAGCTGTAATCTACAAACCATGTACTGTGTTAAGAATCCATAGATTATTAGACCATCTTTTTACCTTTAAAAACTAATAAATAAGCAAAACTTATTAGAGAGCATGCAGTTTTAGTACACATCACACCATGGTTTTGAGTTAGAAGAGGAGTTCAAATGACGGATTGATCATCATTAACCCCATATACAACCATATATGCACAAAAAAAAAATTTGTTATGCCTCCTAAGATTTCGGATTATATTTTTTCATTATGATACTTTCAGAAAAATTTTAAGATTTTGCCATTCAACTGCGCAGCTCAAGTATATACTCCGAACATCACCGCTCTTGACAAAACAATCCGACAACATTCTAACCAAGGACCCAGCACCCCCAAGTTAAGCTGAAGACCCATTACTTATGCACGAAAAAATGACGGTGTAGACAACAATTCCTCTTTCAAAAGGCCCTAAAAGCTTCAGCAATGTGGTGTTGATTTATCTAATGCATACAAGCACAAGAGCTGATAAGACATAGACCTGATACCACCACCACCAGCTGGTCCGTTTGTGTACAAAGCTGTAAACTCCTTTGTAAATTGGATGGCTTGTTCTTCTTGCTCGAATAGCCCATCGACGCGTAGCCTAATATCTTCCGGAAATGAGGAGCTTTTGTCACTGCTGATCGCCTTAAGGCTATCCAGTCCAATTATATAGGAAGTTATATGCTTGTTAACACCAGGATATATTTCTTCCATCCATGACCTGACCTAATAGAATAGGAGGATTGCATAATGAACAAATTTATGACCAAATAGAATAGGAAGTTATATGCTTCTCCCTCAAACATTAGTTTAAAAATCATTGATTTGCCTTTTACAGGATCATAAATTGATAAATTCGTCACACACCGAACTCATATTTATCACCAATAGAAAATGGACGAAATGCAGAATCAGAATCTATAGGACTATTTTACCAAAAATTCAGCAGCTTTGGCCCGTTTCACACATTCGTAACCCCCATAGGATATCTCTCCCCAGCCTTTCCACCCCAAGTCCTGAATAGAAGAAAAAATAGACCATTAGAGACAAAGAAACTACCTTTTCTCTTACTAGGAAACAAAAGAAACTACTTCCGAAGAGAGGAGAAGAGAGAGAAACTATGATCCTGAATAATTTACATTCAGAAATTCCAAAACCATACTCCGAACAGCATGGAATAATGTAGAAATAAGTCGCACTACCTTAAACAACAAGAAACAACAAATAATTAGAAATTTCTTTTTTTATGGGGTAAATAAAAATGACTCACTGGTTACCAAGAAATGTACAGAAAGTGAAACTAATTAGTAGGGAATAAGCACTGCAATGAGAAAACCATAGTTCTATTGAATGTCAAACTACCAGTAGAAGATACACACCCTTCTAAGATGTTTGCCTCAACCACTGTGATGCCAAACATACATTCACATTCAAGAAAAGAACAGAGCAGATAAAGAGAGGGGGGGGGGGGGGGGG